TTTATCTTTTTTCTCTCTCACTTAACTTTATTGCTATCACACAGGAGCTAACAATCCCCTGTGTGATAGCATTTGGAGGTGACAGATTGTCATTATTGAACCTGTCACCTCCAATACAGGAGTTCTAGCACAGCACTGTGCTGGTTCTCCTGTGACAGGTGAGAGGGGAAGGCTGCGAGTGCATGGCGGGAAGGGAGGTGGCCAGCGGGGAGAGGCAGCCAGGTGAGGTGGGGGCGGACCATGGAAGGGGGGCGGTGGGGGGTGGAGCTGCATGCATAATACAAGTGATCTCGGCGACATCGCCGGGATCGCGTGTAATAAAACACTGGCTTCCCAGCTGTACATTTAGCTCTGCTGGCCTGAAGCAGGGCTAAATGTAGAAATAAAACTACCTGCCCCTCTACTCCCTGCCACCCCGAGACTCCGCCTCGGTGTCCCTTGGGAAATCCGGCCCTGTATGTACAGGATGTGAGGATGCCAATGGTCTCACCATTGCTACAGTTGAGGATAGCGGCTGGAGGGAGTGTTGTGACAGCCAGTCTCCTCCGAGGATGGGGGGAGTATAACTTTTTTCAAATTTTAGTTCCTAGACGCAAACAAGCAGTTAACTCTTGCAGTGCAGGAGTAGCCCCACTGCAAGGGTTAAAGGGTTTCTAAACCCTCTGGTGTTTTTGCATATATCTACTGCTGTCAAGCAGTAGATATATGCAAAAAGTTTTTTAAAAAAAGAAAACCCGCTTTAAAAGCGGTTTAAACTTACCCGTCTTCGCCGCGCGCTCCAGTCCGAAAATGCTTGGGTAGCCGCAAAGCATCTTCGTGCGGGCGCATGCGCAGTTTGGATTTTCGGCCGGGAGACGAGAGACACAAGGTAAGTCTATGGACGCGTGCACCCGTATTCAGACACCGTGGTACAGGAAGTACCACCAAGGACAGAGGAGTCTGCGCTGGGTCTGACACTCGCCACAGCGCTGGAGAGAAGGCTGAAAGCTACAGGAAAGAAGATCGGATTAATAGGTATCATTTAAGGTAAGTGCTTACATTAACATTGGGGGGAGGGAAAAATTGCTTTGCCTTTAATGTCACTTTAATAAAAAAAAACTCCTGGAGTTTTTCTTGAATGTCCATATCTTGGTACAGACATGGGAAAGAAGTGAAAATCTGCAGGAAACAGAGCATTGCACCTGCAGTGCTTTACTGGCTCCAATGCAAGAAAATTGGTTGTGCTGTCAGGGAATGGTCACTGAGTGCAGTGCAACTGATTTGTCATTCAAAGTGGGGTGGAGGACCGTGCTGTCAGCTCACTGACATCACTAGTTGCCAGGATGCAATCTCGGCTCCTGACAACTAGTGACATAAGTAAACTTGGCAGGTAGCCACACCGCACCGTGCCATGCCTCTGCCGCTCTACCACTACCATCAGGCCACTCCCCAATGAGATGCCGCCTGAGACAACTGTAAGGGACGCGCCTGGTCAGAACCCACTGTACGTCAATAACACGTGACTATACGCAGTTCCGAACCGGCCCGGATGTCACAAGGAAGTGGCAATACCACTCCCAGCCTCACCCTGCATGAAGATTCCCCAGCTTGCGGGACACAATCTCAGGCCAGCAGACTGAGCACGATCGTCACTAGGGTTGGTTAACTCCGCAGTTAACCCTTTTTACACACAACAGTAGCTGCCACCACGTGTATTAACAGGAACACGCACCGTTCTCAGCAAGTGCTGTGACAATATAAGAGCTTAAACAAAGCCTATGATACCGCTGTCCTCTCAGACAAGATTCACTATATGGTAGCGCTCTTCACGGAGGCAAAGATGCTTTCTGTTCTTATTTAGAGCGTAGAGATAAGTTTAAGGATTTTAAAGATTGTCCTTTAATCAAAGAAATGGTGCAGGAAAGTATACAGAAAAAGATATTAATAAGAAAAGACAAATGTATAACAGCAGTGAAAATAAAAAGTGAATAAAATTAGGAATACTTAACAGTCCAGGGTTTTATAAGTTCTGACAAAGTCCAATACATTGCACTGAAGATTGATCTGGGTGACTCTCTCTTAAAGTAAGGCAGACTGTTTGTCCTTGATGGTAATGTGTTCTGTGGATGTTACTTTGGATGGTACGACAAGCTTCTTGATGTTATGAGAGCCACTTGATTGCCCTGCGCAGCAGCTTTTTGTTGGTCCTCTAGGGTGTGTCCCTGAGCCGGCCCATAAGCCAATTGGGAAGGACTAGGGAGGGTAGCAGGAGGGCTAAGTATTTTAAAATCCTCTCCTCTGCCCCTTCCCAAACTGTCAATTCCATAACTATATCAACATAGTTTAATATTCTTACATATTACTGTCATGACATTAGCTTCAGATCAATCCCAAACTTGGCATGTGCGTGAATTATGGCTGGCCCAGGTGGGTTACCGAGGCTTGTGTCTCATCGTAGAGGCTTGCCTCTGACCATCGTAACCCAGCCATGATTGATGTGTGAATTTCTCATGACGAGACACAGCTATTTATACACTTATTGTTCAGATAACTCCACCAGGTTCCAAATTATGAATATTAGGTAATATTTATAGCCAAACTTGAACTAAAGGTCAGTTAGTTTGTTCTCCAACCAGGCAATCTCTAGCTGAGCTTGACAGGTGCTGGCTGTTTTCTTTCTTAAGGTTGGCCATAAAAAGGTTATGAGGTCATACCTTGTACCTCACTTAGGTGATTTAGGGCTAAGGACTATAAAGATCACAGACCCAGATTAGCAGATATGTTCTCTTTGGAATGTTGACAAATTTAACCCATCGGTGTCAGGTCAGCCCATTGTGGTTCAAACTAAGAGTTTCAGCAAAATATGGTGAAGCGGGAATGTTTAAAATAATATTCCGGGGCTACAACCTCATTACTGTCACCACAACTACCTCAGGCTGCTTCATTATAGGGACAGCCCTAGGCACCATCAAACAGGAAGTCAATCAGCCACAGCTCAAGGGATTCCTGGCAAAAATCTGGATGAATCACAGAGTTCCATAGAACCCTGGTTAAGTCTGGCTACTTTATGGCCATGCACAAATTTTGGAGGATGCTGGGAGTGCCATAGCAGGAACAACAGCCTGCATTCCTTAACATGCTGCTAGTGTTTATTCCATAAAGATAGAAGAGCCCACAAATGGGATTGAAAGGTCTAATAGAACATACCAGAATCAATGTATTAGCCCTTGCCTGCCTTCACTGATGAAAGCTGAGAAAATCATACAAAACTGAAGGTCTCAGGCATTTGGATAATGGCCACTAATCAATAGCTCAGAAAGCAGCTTGTGAATCATCTTCACATTTCTATTTTGTTTTGCTTTACCTCTGAAGTTCATAATTACTGGCAGCCAGTGACGTAAATGAAACATTGATTTGTTTCATTTATTTTTGACTTTCGTCTTGCGATGGTTGTAAGGTAATTAAAAAAACTTACAATCAGCTCATCTTGGACAGGCAGATCGTACTTGCGTACTCGTACAATGACAGGATGGATCCTGTCTGCGTCTGAGCCGGGGGACACGCACCCGTACGGACGTGCATTTCAGGTGAGCATAGGGCGGCGTACTCCCATAGAGAAGGACAGGAGGTGCGTACTAATCACACAGCACCTGTCCTTCCCGGGAGCTGCCCGATACGGCCGTGCACGCAGCACGGAGCTGTACGTGACGGCCGATTTTCTGTGTGAATGAGGCCTAACTATAACCATATGTAATCCCTTCTCATGCTGTTCCCTTTAAAAATACAAAGGAGGGAGTGCCTGTGTGTGTGTGTGTGTGTGTGAGTATGTGTGTGTGTGTACACGGGCCGCCTAGTGGGCAGGAAACTCTGAGGATCTGTGTTTATTCTCCTCTACATGTCTCATTAATCAGCTGGGTGTGGAGCGATCAGGAGCGGCCTGTGTCCTGACTTTTGTAAGAGCGGGGTTTATGTTTTGGGGGTTTATTATCCTGGCAGGAAGTTTGTACGTGGGATATCTGTGAACGTTTACATGCTTCAAAGACAGACATGATTTGTGTAATATCTGCAGCTAAACCTTTTACTTTCAGGCTGCCAGCAAACGCCATAAATATGACCGAGATGTGAAAGGGGGGCAGAAAATGTCCCAGAAATTGACGCCGTTCATGAACGCACACACTGGTGACCCCATCGATGGGATGGCGTACAGAGAAAAGTTTTCTTTTATTGTGGAAGTCCTATAAACTCCGGGATTTACATCGCAATGACTGAATAGAAAGATGCAGCAGTTGGCAATAAGCATTTCTTGTTGCAGTTTAGTGATGTGACAGAAGCGTTCAAGTGTTAGAGAGTCACCTGCACTCCGTACAGCGTACAGACCATCGATACAGATGTCGGTGCTGGAAGTGACAACACGGATGGCGCTGCGCCACAATATAATCGATAATGGAGGTCACCAGCACTCGCTATTGTGCAAGAAGCATAAGCACTTTTATCAATGCATCATAAAGCCAACGTTTCAGGGCCACGCAGGGTCACTTCCTCCAGGTGACATGGGAAGGAACCCTGCGTGGCCCTGAAACATTGGTTTTATGATGCATGTGACACATTAATAAAAGTGCTTATGCTGCTTGGCTGTATTTCATGTCGCAGTGCAAATAAATCTTAACCACTTGAAAACCGGGGTGTTAAACCCCCTTCCTGTCCAGACTTTTCTTTCTAGTATTCAGCACTGAGGCACTTTTATTCAGTCATGCAACGCTGTACCAAATTAATTTTATATCATTTTTTTGGGGAACAGATAGAGGGTGATTTATCAAAACTGGAGCAGACAAAATCTGGAGCCGTTGCCCAGGCCAACCAATCAACTTCTCTTATCAGTTTGTTCAGTTACGATTTGTAAATGAAAGAGAGAAGCTGATTGGTTGCCATGCACAGCTGATCCAGATTTGGTCTGCTCCAGTTTTGATAAATCCCCCTCTTAAGGTGCCCACACACCTTGCGATAATCGTGCTATAATCGTGGGAAATCCCGCGATCGTATGATTATCGTAAGGTGTGTGGAAGCCGTGCGCCCTTAGGGTGGGCACACACCTTACAACCATCGCAAGACTTTCGATGATCGCAAGCCCACCCCGCTGAGGGGCGGGCTTCTGATAACCGCAATGCCGAACGGCATCTAGATAATATGCAGTACTGAACGACCAGACTTCTGGTCTGCGTAGTGTAAAGGTGGGCATAGATGTAAAGATTTCTCTTGTTAAGCCCAGTGGACTGAATGAGAGAAATCTCCAGGGGGGCTGATTAATAAACTGTTTGCACAACATTACTGCCACTAGATGGCGGTGAGGAGCACTGGAATTTGCTATACTCCTCAGCGCCATCTTGTGTTGGTTTTGATGTGCAACGGCATCCACCCAGTGTGTAAAGTTATAAATCAGTCCCTAGGTCAGAGGTGGCCAGCTCCAGCCCTCCAGCTGTTCTGGAACTACAAATCCCATGAGGCATTGCAAGACTGACAGTTACAGGCATGACTCCCAGAGGCAGAGGAATGTTGGGAATGTAGTTAAAGCACAGCTGGAGGGCTGGAGTTGTCCACCCCTGATCTAGGTATATGGTCAGCTTTATATGATTCCCCCAGCAAGGATGGAGGAATCTCCCCTGACAGCTGACACCAGCCGCTGTCAGAATATGCAAACCCTGACTGCGGCTCATTGGCTACAGTCAGGACGATCAGCTCTTTGGCCGTCTTTTTTTCCACCAGCTACTTAAATTTTTAAGTTGATGTTTGCTGAAAAGGACAAATGCAGTGTGTGTACACCACAGGTCCGCTTTAAACTCTCTGCGTTCTGCTGAAGGCTGACTCTAACTGGCACGGCCAGAAGTGGGAGAAAACCAAAATTCTTGCTGCAAAAAGAGATCCTCCAAGATGGTAATCATCACACACTCGGCTCTGTGTCCTGCCCACCGCTGGCTTGCAGGCTTTTTCCATGTGCTTGTTTTATTTTCCTGCACATCAGACTGCATGGGCCGTTCTCAACTCATCTTATGCTTTAACCTCTTGTTGGCAATTGCCTTGTCCGCAGCACACTGAAAGCAATGTCCAATACCAAAACTTTTTTGGTAGAGCAGAGAATGTTTTAAAACAGTCAAAAACACAAATCATCCTCTGTCATCCCCCATTCACAGCATGGGGAGCGCGGGGATCTTTGGCTGCTTTTCATGCTTTTTATTTTGTGCGTTTGAACGTGCGGTTTTTGCACTTGAGCATTTTAGCCAATGAAAAGCCAAAGGAAAGCTAATTACTAGAAGAAAGGACCATTGCCAGACTTGAAGCTCGGTAAGAAACAAAACGTGTTACATGGTTTTCAGAGACATATCACAGAGTTCAGAGATTAAGTAATAGCTTCCAGGATACCTTTAGATTCCTTCATTTGTTATACTGTGTACAAGACATACTTGATGAAAGGGTTCTGAGGTATCCTGAAAGCTTACATCTTTAGTAACCTAACTGAAGCCAATGAAGTGGAGAGGGATAAGAACCTCTGTCAGGTTTTCATTGCTCTCCATTTGGCCTGGTGACCGTTATCAGGTGAAATAAAGTCCCAAATTTTGGGTTGCCACCGAAAAAGATGACCGCACGCGCATAACAACCTCCGGGCAGGTGACACCTAGCCTGGAGACGCCTCTCGGGGGGAGCGCCAACTGCCTGGGGATCAGGTAAGTACAACTGTTTTTAAAAAATCCCCCTAGACAAAAATAAGCAGTCAACCCTTGCAATGCAGGGGTGGCCCCCCTGCAAAGGGAGGATTTTGTGTTTGTCTGGAGATATACTCTGTCATTTAGTCCTATAATATATACCATTATGGGGGAATTTAGCATGATGTCACAACTTCCTTTAAAAGGGAATATGTGGGTTCGCAAAGATATTCTGTGCACAAAAAGTGGATTTATATCCTCTGTATATCTGTAAAAAAGAAGTCATGGAAACTGGACTAGCTGTATTTTTCTTGAAGACGTTTCACTGGTCATCCAACCAGCTTGAAAGGTCTTGAAACGACTTCACGAAAAATACAGAAAGTCCAGTTGCCTTGACTGACTTTTTTCAGATATACCATGACCTGCATGAATGAGAACCTTCACAGACATATTCTCTGTAGCTATTATATTGAAATGACCATTTCTGTGCCTGGAGTTCAGCTTTAAACAGAAAAGTGCTCTTTTAGATTTATTCCATATACAAACATTATACAGGATGTGTGGAAAGATTCCATAGTTGCGAGGATGTGATATCTGGATTTTTTGGCAATTGCAGATAAGCCTCGAGGCTGCATAATATAGTGCAGGGGTGAGTTTAAACAATAATAAATTACAAAATGGTTTGAGCACCTATTAGGTCATATCCCTTTTTATGTGTGCAGAATGCCGGTATTTATTATCACTGTAGTATAAATGAGTCTGTACTATCAGGTGATCATTACCTGAAGGCAGGATGTGCTTGTAGCAGACATGTTATGGGAGAGATCCAGTGTTGGACAATAGGCTTTGTCACCAGGTCATGTGGTGATACCTGTAATGGGACAATGGTGCTGAGAACAGCTGCTAGATATACTTTTCTTTGCTGATTACACTTGGGGGGACTATTCTAGTTGGGCAATGGCTTTTTTTAACAGTCCTTAAAGTACACCAAATAAAGCAACATTGGGTCATTGCTGACCTTCATTTGGAAACTCTATTTATCTGGCTTCAGATACGCACACACCCAGGACAGGTTTGCAGCAAATGAGTCCTTATGTTTACTCTTGTTTCGGTGGAACCAAAGCTTCATATCAGCAAGCCAACTAGCGTTTTTTTTAGAAGTCAACAGTGGCAGTCTATATATTTTTCTGATGACTACTTTGTTTTAAAGGTACCCATGGAAATTACATATCAGTCAACGCATTTGCTTTCCCCTCTAAGCCTAAGCCCACAAGGAAGGCTTTCCAGTCGGAGGGACTGAAGGTGGTTGAATCATGCCTGTATCTCCAACAGCCTCTAATGTCTATGGGCACCCTTAAAGTGACACTAAAGTAAGGCGTTAAATCTTAAAAATTTATTCATGTACCTTAACAAACTTCAAGCTCGCTCCTGTGATGGACTACAATCTCAATACAAATTAGTAAACTAAACATGAGATTGTAGTCCATCACAGGAGTGAGCTTGGAGCGGTGACAACTTTACAACACACACAGGGACCATGGGGAACACAAGTAGCCCCCCTCCAGAAGGAAGGACAGCGTCCGCACCAATTCAGAGATGATTTGAGGATCTACAGACGAGTGATACACACACAAGATACATTTTTTGTCAATAGTTAGGTACTTAAATGTATTTTTAAGATTTAACTCCTGAGTTTAGTGTCACTTTAAGCTAACTAGTAAAAATACATTTGTGGCCTGTCCCTCAAACAAAGTTTATTTCCTGACTTGTTGCACTAAAAGCTTTTAAAAGTAACCTTAGTAGAACTGAAGGTAAAACTTTTCTATGAGTTTTAAACCCCTGTCGATTCTTTCCCATTGAGGAGATTTCCCTCGTCTTCCAGTCTGATAGCCACAACAGGAAATGAGAGGAAATCCCTAAAAATTGAGGGAAATCCCTGGTGTTCAGCAGGGTCAGCAAAACTAGTGTCCCCATTCGAAGATTTCCTGTCTATTCCTGTTCCGATGACAGCCCAAAATTTGGAATTTTCCATCACTTTTAGTGATTACGTTCACCAGGACAAATAGGAAGGATGAATCTTCTTATTGTGGAAACAGGCAGCAATAAAAACCTGACGGGTGTTCTAATCTTTCTCTACTGCATGCAAAAAAATGTTTTAAATAAAATTTGGGATTCAGTTCCACTTTAACCCAAAGACCCCTTTTACATTTTTTACTGGAGGGGTTCCCAAACAAAACCTGTGAAACCCTGGTCAAAGACATCCTCTGACTCATCTTGTTAAAGTGTATCTGTTTGTGTCCCGACTGTAGAACTTCATTCCGTTTTGAGTTGTCACCAGAACACAAGTACATGGGGAAATATTCCAATGGGGACATGGGTTCTGGTGACCAGAAGGACTTCCCATACTTTGGACAAGCTTCCTCTAGCTCCCTATTCTCTTTATAGGACAGGAAGTGAAGGCATTTTTTTTCCCAAAAGTACATAGGTGGGGGAAGACCTGACAAGGGTTTTATCAATTCCCTATTCTATCCAAAATGAAAAGACAACATTTTGGTTTCAGATCTACTCCATCCCCTAAACCAGGGGTGCCCATTAGGTCGATCACGATCTACCAGTCGATCATTAAGCGAACACTGTTAGATCGCGATCGGCTGTGTCCTGTCCTCCTGCAGTGCTCATGCTGAATGTGTCAGACGCCGCAGATGGGAAATGGGCGGGGCACCTCTCCCCACTTTCTTTGCTGTCTTCTCGTGCGCCGACAGGACGCCGGCGCACGAGAGGAGACCCGGGAAGCTGCTGCAGTGGAGGTAAGAAAAGACAGAGAGAGAGAGAAGAAAGACAGCAGAGAAAGTGAGAGAAGAGACAGCAGAAAGAGGAGAGACAGCAAAGAAAGTGAGAGAAGAGACAGCAGAGAGAGAAAAGAAAGACAGCAGAGAAAGTGAGAGAAGAGACAGCCGATAGAAATGGGAGAGAGCGAGACGAGCGAGCGCAAGAGAAAAGACCAGATTGTACTGGACCAGAACGCAGGCACTGATGTGCCTGCGTTCTGGGTGCGGGTGATTGCACTGCGGGCGGGGGTGTGTGGCTGCGGTGTCATTGACTTCAATGAACGGCCAGCCCCCCCCGCCCCTAAATGCAGGTGTTTTTTCGTTGGTAGATCTCATTGAGCTCATCATTTGAAAAGTAGATGTCCAGACGAAAAATTGTGGGGGCCCCTGCCCTAAACTGTCCAACTTTGCTAACCTTGCTCAGGAAAGTTTGATATCCAACAAGTAAAAGGTTTTGTATGGCCAACGTAGGCCTGTTGTTGTTTTCCAGAATATATACAGAAAATAAAGGTTGTAATATTGAATGTACAGGACCAGTCTCAATCTCCTTTTAATTCAGAACAGGAGGTGTTGCCCCATCTGTGTATTTACGCCATACTTGTGGTATCTAGGACAAAGGTTGGCGGTGGGGGAAGCACGCAGAAAAAATAATTTAGCAAATCATTAACCACTTTATGGTAAAATTACAAGTTTGTAAGTAAAGGGAGAAGCCCAAAACCATGAGTTAAATGTAGTGGAAAGGGAGGTTTCCAGAGAACGGAGGAATAGTGGCTTTCTAGTTGTAAATGTACAGCCACTTATTTGCATTTGTGATAAGGTGAGCCAGGATGTGTACATGGTGTCTGGGTGGGGGGATCGTGCAATCCCTAAACAAATCAGGGACATGGAAAGAAAGGGATGATTATGGACGATTTGTCAGGCAAACAAGCTAGACATGTTGTATTAAAATGGGATAGTTTATCCGTATCGGTGACAGAAATGTCGGTTTTCTGACTTGTAATCCATATACAAGTATTTTTAGGCAAATGTTTCTGCAAATTCATATTTATAGTCCTCCATACTTCCGTTGCTCCGTCCAGTAACTGCCAGAGCCAGATTTCTCATAAGCCACTTGTAGGTGCGGAGCTTAAGGTCTAAGACATTTTAAAGCTGCATGATTACGTATGCATAGCTCACATGTCCAAAGGGCATCTGTGCATGACTGATTTTTGCTGCGCTTCCACATGAAACTGTTGGCCAAGTAAAAACTCTTATTCACCATGTAATGATTTGCAGTTAGATTGAAGTAAGATGTGTCCAGATTTACAGTGACAGAGGGAGGGGGGTCTAATCACTCATCATCACAGGTTCACACAGGTAGAGTGGGGCCATATAGATCTGTGCGGCATGCACGGTCGTATCGGGCAGCTCCCAGGAAGGACAGGTGCTGCGTGTGATTGTATGCAGCAGCCTGTTCTTCCCTATGGGAGGATGCGGCTGTATGCTGTAATTCGCTCACACGAGGCTGCACATCCGAGCATGGACACATGCACGGATGTGCACCTCGGGTGAGCGTATGGCCGCATACTCCCATAGGGAAGAAAAGGCTGCTGCATACAATCACACGCAGCATCTGTCCTTCACACCACACGGATCTGTACGGCCCCACTCTACCCTGTGTAAATGAGGCCTAAAGCTCACCATATACCAGTCGTTCAGCCCCAGCAGCCTGTGGGGAAGAACAAGAAAAAATGCTTGATTTCCTATCTACACTCAACAGCGTGGATGGGGGTAGCTCCCCGGCCGGGCTATTGTATTTTGGCCGCTGGCACCTGAACCTGTCAATACCCAAACAGTCAGTTCAGCTGACAATTTTCAGCCTGTGAAATGGAGTGGTGGTGGCAGGCCACCCACATCTCAACCTTGAGTCAGCCGGACCCATCCAAAATTCATGCAGTTTATGGCCAGTTTAAGTCTCAAAGGGGCCTTGTGCACAAATGGTATGTCTAACCTTGGCATATATGGCTGCCACTCCCTGTGCTAAGAATAAAATTGTTGGAATGTTGTAACTGCAGTAAAGTTTGCAATTTTACATCCATACAATTGCTATGACATCATAAATTCACTCAACGGCACCAGTCTTTGGGAGGGATCTGTAGGAACTGTACATGTGCAGAAAATGTCAGACTGTAGTGTTAATGGCACAATTGCTGTAGCATATCTCCACTCGAGCCTATCCAGAATCCGGGATCTTGAGATCCAAGGCAATGGTAAGCTTGAGGATGCCGATCAGTGGAACATGGACCTGTGGAGAAAAGCCTGGCTGTAGTAGTAGGGACTTACTACAGCATTTAGCTCTGATACTGATGTGAGCTCTGCCTGCACAGGACTACTAGTGGCCAGTGAGGTGACTGGTCACCTAGTGCATGTGGGTGACCAATCTTCATTATAGGAAGTCCTTTGCACTGACCATTTGGAAGCCCAGTCTTCCTGTGTTTACAATGATTTTCCCATCAATGGATGGTTGAGCAGCAAAGTGACTATGCAGTTAGATTGCTATTTGCTAACTTGTGTGCTGGAGTTCAGCTTTAGGAACATACCAAGGACAAAAATATTTAAAGTTTAACTCCACAGCTACAGAACCGAAATCTCAGGAGTCCTCACTACTTCCACACCTAATGTTTTGTGTCCTGGCTCCTTGCACACGCTCCATCTCAAGCCGGCTGGGGCTTGGCTACAATGCCCTAAAAGATACTCTACATAGCCATGTTCTTGCGATAGTGTATAGAAGAATATACATTACATTGACTTTTCTACAAAAAAGTGTTTTGTAGAAAAGTCAACGAGTTGTATGCTGGCGACAAAACGGCAATATGTTCAATGTGAGAAACGTATGTAGCTTCATGGGATCTGTAATTGGTCCCTCCCTATTGATAACCGAGATAACAGAGGATGCATGTTTTCTGAATGTTTACTCATAATGTGTAAAGCTAATCAGATATTACACTAAATTATAGTTTACTCACTGAATAAACCTTATTTTTTTTTTTTCTTCAGCCGATATCTGTCTGACAATCTGCAAAGTGCCATTAAGAAGATAATATGGCAGGAGTAAGTACTAATCTATATACTGTATAGTGATAATCGTAATCCTTCTCTCTGAGGTTGTAAACAGATAGCGGGGTGCTTTTGTTATAGCAGAGTCACACGCCATCTTCTGCTCCCTTCTTATCCCAGTGGATGCTGTTTAAAAAAATAAAATGTAATAATTTAAACATGTTTTATAAAAATGTTATATTGTAGCGCTCACCCCCGAAGGAGCTGCTGGATGCCCAGTTCACTTCTAGTCTGTCTAGAGTATGATCTTCAGAGCCTACCCATTAGCACTAACCTCCCTTCTTCTGGTGACCATAAACTGATGTCCACTCCAGTAGTAAAATGCTAAGTAACGATTTATTGAACATCTTCACTGGGGAGAGAGGGTATAGGGATTCTATGTGTCCAGGGGTAACCAACAAAAGCTCCAGACTCACCAGACCTTGTAGGAATATCAGTGTAGATCCACCTGGGAGACAGCGGACAGCAACTGATGTAGCAGCTAGGCAGGATGGATACAGATTCTCAACCAGGAAAGACACCAACCATACTCCTGAAGTCCACTTAGATCCAGGGCACTTCAGCAGCCTGCATTGGTCCCGGTTCTCTAGCTTTTTCAGCATCACAGGCCTCCTCCATGTTGGAGGCCTCAGAGAAACCTTTCCCTCACACCAGCCCATGCCCACCCCCAGGCCTAGCCTGGGGGGCATGCTGAACAGGACCCAGCCCTATTCCATGGCTGGTCCTGGCTAGTCTGAGCACATGGCAAATCCCTCCGGTATATGTACCCTGTCCCAGCATGCACCACTGGCTGAGAGAAACCCACTGATTGGCTGCTGTACTGTATGTACACTACAGTGTATCTCATTGGCCATCCCACATCCCAGAGAGGTACAGGCAATGCTAGACACCTGGAATTAACCAGATAACTACCACTATAATTGCAGACAGGCTGACTACAGCCCTGGCTATCACTAAATGTCTAGTAGCCACATCACAGATATATACACACATACATTAAAATATATTTAAATGAAAACAAAGTAGTTATAAGAAGCATACACAGGACAGCTCTGAATTTCTGAAAAGATCAGCAGGTATTTATTTGCACTTTTTAAACAGATATAACAAAACGCTTTTCAAAGGGATGTTTAATAGCGCATAATAGAGCAAGTAAGAAAATGTTGTTAGGTTTTGACATTCTCTTTAAAGGAAACCTGTAGAAAGGATATGTAGCTAGCTAATGGTGATCTCTCCTTTTAAAAATGTGATGTACCCAGCTGTCATGCTCATCCAGTGACTTCAGGACCTTTTAAGGGACTGATCTGGAACAGGCATGCAAATCAGCAATTCTGACCTAAAGCCCGCCATACACTAAACGAATTTCAGTCATGTTTTGCCGACTCAGCTGAAATTGGACAAGTGTGTGGCCCCTGTCTGCAGACCTCTGTTCTACAAAAGATAATTTTTGTCGATTGAAAGCCAAGTTAAAAATTCTCTCCCAAACAGCCAATCATCTACAGTCACTGTGCTGGTGTTCTGACAGTGGCACGCCTGCTGCTGTCGCACTATAATATCCCAGTAGAGGGATTAGCTTGGATAGAGGAATCAAACATTTCTAATTTAGCTCATAAGGCCTTGTTCAGACGGGCGGTAAAAAGAGGCAGTTGATATGCATTTTTACTGCCCCCCCCCCCAACATCCCACCTAAAGGTAAAATAGCAGCCACTTAGGCTTGTATACACGTCACATGAAATTTTAGACAGCATGAACAAATCGACAGGTAGTGCCTCTTGTCAAATGCGACCATTGTGAACAATGACCATGCCGCAACCAAGAACCCACGCGGCTGTGGTACTGCAATTGAAAAAAAAGCAGAACATCAGGCAGCCCCCGCTCTAGCGCCCTTAAAGTGGGAGAAATCTGAGGATGACATTGCTGACCTTCTAAGAATACTAGCTGCCGATCTGTCTCTGCTTTCCATACTTCCAGTGACTCTGTCTGGAGAAACGTATGGAGGCTGCCCTTGCTGACCCACTTTTAAAAATATGCTGCGTCTGTTTCATTACTTTTGAGTCATGAACCAGGAACAAGCTAATGAGTGTCAGAAAAGTGTCACAATGCCTCCATCACTATATTTGTTCCAGGTCAGAGATTCAATACACTCTGAAACCAAACTATCAACATGAGCGCCAGGGAACTAGCATTCTCAAAGGAGAGGACTGCAATGGCAGCTGCCATAATTTTCTCATGAGCAGCTTAAGTAATGCAGTCAGAGATGGCCATTCAGCAAGTATTCTAAAGGTGCCCATACACTGCACGATTATCGTACGATAATCGTATGCGATCGGTTTTTCGTACGATAATCGAGCAGTGTGAACGGAGACGTGCGACCGTTTCTACTGTACGGTCGCACGTCTTCTGTCGAACCAGCATGTTCGAAAACCAGCCGGGAATCGTACGATTCTCGGCTGGTTAGAACGGTGCTCGGAAGACAAATGCCGAGCGGGCCGGTGTGCGCACGCGCACACTGCCCGTTCAGCATTGCGGTCATCAGAAGCCCGCCCCTCAGGGGGGCGGGCTTGCGATGATCGAGAGTGCGATCTGCCTGTCCAAGATAGGCAGATCGTACGTTTTTTTAATCCCTGTACAACCATCGCAAGACTAAAGTCTTGCGATGGTTGTAGAGTGTATGGCCACCTTTAGGAAGTCAACAATAGCACCCCCATATTCTCTCACCACAGGTTTTCTAAAAGTAAATATATTTACTGGACCCTTTTTTCAGGTACTTACCAGGCCCCAGGTGAAGGTGATGAGCTAGTGTATTTTGGCCAACATACAAACCAAAACTAGTATTTCATGCTTTCATTGTTTGTGATCCATTATACCGGCCTGTACTGAATACATAAAGGTGGCTGTAAGATCATTGTACAACAAAGTTAGATTCTGCCTTTGCGTTAAGCATGTTTGTTTTAGTATGTGAAGAGCTACTGGACTACAGTCTTGGACCAAGCCCAGGTAGCTATATTGTGTCTTACTTCTTCAGTGGAGAATGCATGGGAGCTGATGGTGGAGGGGAAGGAGAGACACACAGTATGAAGGAAAACGCTGGAGGGGGGAGGAGAGAAGTAATATTGAGAGATCCCGTAGGAGGAGGAGAGGAGCATTATTGCGGGGAAGGGTGGGGGATCCTGGAGCTGAGGAGGGGGGAGTGTTGGG